GATGGGTCCCGCTCGAGCGTCAGACACAGACTCACGCTTGAGCGTGAAAAGAGCCGCTCGAGCGTCGATTGCACACTTCCAGAAGTTTTGCAGGCGATGGTACCCGCTCGAGCGCCAAACTCTCCGCTCGAGCGGAGGGACTGCAGAGTAAAGTACTGGGAGATGGAAAAACACGCTCGAGCGTCAAAACTCCCGCTCGAGCGGATAAGCAACAACGAAGAGCCCGCTCGAGCGTTAAAACTTCCGCTCGAGCGTGAAGGCCAAAATCTGGACATCACCTTTTGGTTTCAAAGTGCAACCAACCTGTTTCAAACCTGCCCATCACAATCCAAGATTCAAATACAAAGAGGAAAGGCTGGAAGTGATAATGATACAAAAACAAGTCCACGGAACCAAATCCAGAATACAGTATACAAAGGAAGGAAAAACCGGAATCGCTATATTTTTTCTCTTAGAACAAGTGATCCATATGATTTTTGTTGAATTTCACTTCAATCTCTCTGGTTTCGCACACTTTTTTTACATATTTTAAACCATAGTGTTAAAAGCAAATTGCAAACTCTTTTCGCAATGTGAATCAGGGTATAACTTTTCTTCTTATGGAGTTACAATCAAAGTGGATAGCAGGGGTTTTATCTGGTAAGTTGCTTTTGCCATCTGAAGAGGAGATGCTAGCTGATGTTCAACAACATTACCTCCAAATGGAGGAATCTCAAATTCCCAAGCATCATACCCGTCTTCTTAATCCATTTGAGGTTAATTCTCATCCTAGTTTCTACTTATCATTTTTCCAAATTCTTGCTTAATTAAAAAAATATCCACACTGATACAAATAAGAGATGGTATTAGTATATTAGAAATAATAATTTATATGTGAGTGACTTAGACCCTGTTTGGTAGAGCTTATTTCCAGCTTATTTCAGTTTTTAGCTTAATTTAAGTTATTTTGATGTGTTTGGTTCAGCTTAATAATACAGCTTATAGCTTTTTGTAAGTCAAAAATCAACTTATTCTTTGAGTGGGAGAGGAGAAGCTTAATTTATAAGTCAAAAATCAACTTATATTCACAGTTATAAGCTATAAGCTGTTAGGCTATAAGTTATAGGCCCTGTTTGGTAAAGCTTATTTACAGTTTATTTCAGTTTTTACCTTAATTTAAGTTATTTTGATTTGTTTGGTTCAGATTAGCAATACAGCTTATAGTTTTTTATAAGTTAAAAATCTACTTATTCTTTGAGTGGGGGAGGAAAAACTTAATTTATAAGTCAAAAATCAGCTTATGTTCACAGCTATAAACTATAAGCTGTTAGGTTATAAGTTATAATCACTTTCCTACAGCTCTACCAAACAGGGCCATAATCACTTTTCCACAACTTTACTAAACGGGGCCTTAATCTCTTCAATTCTAATAAATCTCCAAAAAAATGTCGCATGTAATACGGATATTCATTTTGGTAAACTTCAGTAAAACTATAAACAAAAAGTGACAATATAATTGAACTTAAAATATAAGAGATTAAAATATAAAGGATTAGCTGTTATAATTAAAAAAATATATATTTTTGGTGATTTATTTATTTATTTTATTTTATTTTATTTATTTATTTATTTTTTGGTGTGATTTGATGAATGATAGTTTGGGTACATGTACTGGCTAGCGGCTCAAGTAGGATTGCCACCACCAGATCAACGGCTGACACAGATTTTTAGTCAAATTGTTATGTGCTTCATTTTGGGAAAGGAAAGTTTTAGGGATGAACTGGATGTTGAAAGCTTGACACGTGTTGCGGCATGATTGCTGCGTCATTATTGCAATTTATGTATTTTCTAGAAAATTTTAGGGTTAATGACATTAAGAACCATAATTATTAGTAAATATCAATTAATTCCCTTTCATCTATGAATCTGAACATATTAATTCCCGTAGTTTGAAAAATTGTATAAATACATATTTTTTTGAGATGGTCTGAATGCAAGGAATAAAAGCAATACACTTTTATAATGGAAGGAATCAAATTGTATGAATTCATACATGAATGAAATAAAATAATATTTGTTAATAATTGAGAAGGTCATAGTGTAAATAACCTAAAATTTTATTTGTTTTATTTTGATTTAAATTGATTTCACTACTTGTAAACTTCTTTAAGACCTCGTTTGTTTTCAGAAATAGAATAGATGGTTGTTTGTTTTCAGAGGTAGAACAGAGAGAATTGATAGTGAAGGGATTAAGTAAAATTGTGTTTATTTTGATGGTAGTTGTTAGTATGGAAATTGTTAAATTATTATCCTATAAAAGAAATATAAAATATTAAAAAAAATAAAACTATAATTTTTACTTAATAAAAAATACAAAAATATTAAACATTAATGTTAAAAAAAATGCCTAACATGTAAAACTAAATAAATAAATAACCTAAGCAGGAGGACTAATAACCTAATATCCTAATACCACCTCCACGTCTTCCATCTCAATTCCAACACCAAGGTCCATCTTAATCTCATAAAATTATAAATCCCCTCTCAATCTCCCAAAATAAACACAACATATAGTAGGTCCTAGCTTTATCCAAATCACATTCTCATATCTATCTCTCAAAACAAATAGAGCCTAAAAAAATGCTATCCAATCATGATTATAATTTCGAAAACTTTTAACATACACATCTTTAGAAAAGCTATATTATATTAGATACGTCCTTAATTATATAATTTTATTTTGTAGTAATAATTTATGAGTTCTTTAATTATTTCTCATGTTGTATTTAGTTATTATATTTTTATTTATTTTTAAGTTATGTTTGGAATGTTGGTTTCAGACTATTTTAGCCACAAAAAAAAAGGTTAAAATGTCAATAAAATAAAATGGTACATCAAAACTATAATTATTTCATTTTTTCTTTTCCACAATTCAAAAAAAAAAAAAAAAAAAAACCAAAAAAATAAAACCATCACAAACTAAGCTTTTTAGCCCTAGACAGCCAAAAAACCAACCCACATCCCAAAAGAAGACTTAGTTATGACTCAAAAAATATAAAATTATATTATTTTTTCATGTGCATATTTAAGAGTGTGTACCATATTATTTTTCATTAATTAATATTGTAGTTTAGATTCGTTTTTGTTATTATTCTAGTATAACCATTGAACTGGTTTAACAATGGTTTTTTTTAAGTAATTTTTTTTTTTTAAAAAAAAATTATGATAAAAAAGTTGTTGAAAAAACTAAAACATTGGGTAAATATTAAAAAAATAATTTTTTATTAGTGACAAAATTGAGTGGGTTCTTAGTTTTTATTTAGAATTAATTACCTAAAAGTTTTATTTATAAATGTTATGGTAACTCAAGTTCTATCTAAGATTTTTTTGAATTATTAAGTCCTATTTAATAAAATTGAGAATATTATCAGTTTTTTCTAATTTTTAAGACCAAGAACATTATCAATTTTGCATAGTAATGTTCTAGATAATTGTTTCACTAACTGATGAAAAAAAACAGAATATGAGATTAAACGCATTTGCCCTTTTACTTATTGGTTCGATTCAGCTATCTAATAAAACTGAGAATATTATCAATTTTTTCAGTTTTAAAACTGAGAACATTATTCGTTTTTTCATTTTTAAACTTATTTATTTATTTATTTATTTTTATTTTTGCGCATCAATATTCCATTATGATGTTTCTTTATAGACACAAATTTTTCAGTTATGCACAAAAATAATTTAGTTTTTTCAATTTTTTTTTTAAAAAATGCACATTTTTTTTTTAATTTTTTTTTAATTTGAAAGTTGATATTTTAAAGTTTTGAAAATCAGAATAAATGTCAAATCATCATGTTTCTTTGTTAGATAATCATAAATAATGAACCAACATTGTTTGAAAGGTAATTCCGACTATTAAAAATTTAATGGGACTTGAAGGTCTAAAAAATCTTAGTTAAATTCATAAATTAAGACATGTGTGTAAATGTCCCTTTTATTTATTTATTTGTTATTATAATTCATTGGACATTAGTTTAATACTTAAAACTAAACATTTACTTTGTTATTATGCATGCATAAAATGAATAATATGACTGAATATATATATATATATATATATTTTTTTTTTCCAATTGAAGATGTGATTATTAATTACCTTTCTTTTATTTAAACTCAACCTTACTAGCTAATTTCAACCATATTTTTGTTTTTAAAATTACTAAATTTGAAACACTCCACCCTAAAAAAAAAACCCTCTCATTTAAAAAAAAAAAAAAAAAAAAAACCCTCTCTTCGATCAAATTAAAACGCATTCTAACTATCGATTGTTTTAAGGTCTAATGAGCCCTTACCAAAATAATAATAATAATAACAATAATAATCATAAAAAATAAAACAAAAAAAAGAGGCCAGACATACGAGAGTCCATCCATGCGAGAAGGTGATACATTTATTTTTGGATAGAAAAGTGGGGTCGGGAGAAAAATTGCTGATTGAACATTTTTATTATCTCTCTTTTTTCTTTAATGTTTTGTCCCATTGTGTTTTGAAACCAAACCACTTTACCTTTTATAATTCAAATACAATCAGAAAGTCACCATGTAGTTTTAGACTAAACGTACATCCCTTAACACCGTTAATTATATATGTAAAATGACGTTAATAACCTCAAACCCCACGACTTTTTTGTTATCTTCTTTCTATTTTCTACCTCGTACACATAATTTATAATTTTTAACATTAATTCAATTAAGTCATAACTAATTTTAAATTCATAATTATTTATTGTAATTCCTTTTTATTTTAATTATAGTTTAAATCACAATTAATCCTAAATTATTAATTTAAATTTAATTTAACTTTAATTATTTATTGCAATTCCTAACATGTTAATCTAGTTTTAATTTAATTATATTTCAGATCAATCATTAATTATTATTTATTTTATGTTTATTTTAATTATATTATAAATCAACCCTTAATTATATTTTATATTTTAGATCAATCTTTAATTATATTTTAATTTGTTTTATTTTAATTAACATATTAATATAATTTTAGGTTTAGAAAAAAAATGGGGATAAAATTGTCTTTTTATTGTGTTAATTTCATTTTATTTTTTCATAAAACTAAACCCACTCTCAAAAGTAGTGTGTGTGATACACCTTTCATTAGTTTGGATGGAAAATTAACGGTAGCAATTCAGTCTAAAACGACATGGGGGCATGGTTATTAGAATTCTAATCCGGATTGTAGAATCTTAAGATTCTACAACTCTAATTGGGCTAAGTGATTCGGATCGCACTAGGATCTTAAATTCAATAGGATCGAAAAGTGATTATGATCCTAATAATAAAATTGTATAGAATCACACTGTGACGCCCCAAGATTTAAGGACATCATATTAAGATTTAGAACTTAAAATCAATATTGCTACCAACATTACTAACATCCATTAATTAACAACCCAGAATTTAAAGTTCTTACATCACAACTTAGTCTTAGTACATAAAAGAAATGACACAAATATAAAAAGAAAACTAGAGAAAAACTAGAAATTTTAGAAAATAGTTCATGGAACTTGGCACTCTTCAAGCTAACCAAGGTTGAACGTCACCTTGCAAGGCCTCGGTGTTCCCTTTGGTTTCTTCGGTACCTGGCATAAAATGTCAGGGCAACGGGAATGCCAGTAAGCGACGAGCTCAATAAGATACTACAACCTGAAAATACCCACCCCGATAATAATACTCACAATTGCAATCAAATAGAAGCTCCAATGTACACATTTCCCTTTTATTTTATTCCGCTGCACTATTAATTTGTTATGATTTCATTTATTATCTTGTTGCGATGCTGAACCTCAGGGTATCGAGTTTGGGTCGTGACAAAATGGCATCAGAGCAATGGTTTTTCAAATAAAAAATAAAAAATATTGGAGTATAGGACACACGCACAATTATGTAATGGGTTAAGGGTATGCATGATAAGTTTGTGTGATTTTGTACCACAGCAGGAAAACAAAAATGAATAGCATCGGGTGCGGCCAATGATGAGTAAGAAAGAATAAGTGTTATGCACTTTGTGTGTTTAGTCTGCGTGTTGGGTCCGTACCTAGATAGAGAAAGAGGAAGAACAGGAGAAAAAAAAACGAATAAACAAAACCATCACGTGGGTTTGAAAAAAAGAAAAAAGAAAAGAAAAGATTAATTGGCAAGAGTGGATGGCAAGTATAAGATATGACTCTTCGTATGCCTCATCATTGGAAGAAAGAATTAATTTGGCCATGAAATGTATCAGTCTGTTCGAATAATAAGACAGTGAAAGTGCTTAAGGATCAAGACGAGAGTATTAATACAGATGGTGTGTGACAGTTGCATTTCTGGGAAGATGCAAAACCCATGCACGTTCTAAGACGTGGGAAAAGAGACTCTGATCCACTAATATCACCAAGTCTTGGGTATATTAGTGTGGGGGGTAATGTTGGCTACACATTTTGTACTAAGCCAGTAACAATCCAATGCGTGGCAAAGTGAGGGTAATATGGGGAGACCAGGTAGGTCTTCGATCCTGATCATACACGTGGCAATTAATATTGGTTGTTATAAGATCTGAGTAGTAGCAGATCAACAAAGAGACGTACAGTGACGTGGCTTCAACGGTTGCTCACATTTCAAATTCAAATATAAGGGGGAAGCCTAACTGCAAGTGAAGGCGTAGTGGGACTACTTATAAGGTAGCATGATCAGCAACTACGGAGGGGCAGTTCGACGGTTTGAAGTACAATTCGATGGTTATCTTCGGAGAGTATAAATAGCAGGAAGGACTTCAGAGAAGGGGACGGAGAAAAATCTAAAGAATCACTTTACATATTCCAGTGTTATTTCATGTCCTTTATATTCCTGTATTTTTAGTTTCTGTGCTGCGCTGCACTTCATTTGTAGGAGTAGTTGTCAAGTACATTGCCGCTGTAATTCTCTACGAAACTGAGATCATTGTAAGTTCTTTTTATAC